TTCGCGTCGTCGGTGCCGTCAACGTGCCGCGGATGGTTGCGCTTCGTAACCGCGTTTTCGCGTTATAGTATTATCGCGTTATCGCGTTTTCGCGTTTTCAAAATCCCAATTTCGTTTTTATCAACGAGTATCTCCTTCCGACGCCAACTAACTGGGATGTTTCATCGAGTCGTTGCTTTGCGACGTACTCGCGCCTTGTGCAACGTGGCACTTGGTGATGCCGGCCGCGCAGAACGTATGTCCAGTACAAAATGTACATGGGCGCGCGGGTTCGATGCTTCGCGCTCGATCGGCTTAGTGATGAACACGCTCTGCTTCGTCAATTGATTTGGCCCGAATCGGTTAGAACTCGATCGATTGTTCGAAATGGTCGTCAATGGGTCCCTTCTCTTTGCTCGTCTACTCTACAGCCACACGCCTAGCGTGTGTTAACCCTGTCGAGGAGTCGAGTGGATTCCCCTAGGCACGATTTTCGCTCGGTAAAAGGGGTTGCCTCCCCATTTTCTAAATTGCTGAATGTTAGCTTTTAAAAAATGTGGGTATCCTCTTCTTTTACCGTCTATCAGCCTTGTGTACTGCGCTAGTGATATAGCATCCGTGCGGGTCACTTGAAATCGTGCTTAGCGGGTCCAGGTTCGATACGAGATAGGATAATTATGCGCGAAAAAGAGCTGGTGAACTTTATTTTCCTCTATTCCGTCAATCGTTTCGTCTTCTTTCCGGTTCGGGCCTAATCTTTGCTCGTTGTATCGTTGCATTCCCGACCTGTTGGCTCGAATTTGATTCTCGCGAAATGAAATGGGATTTTCGCTCGTACCGAAACCGGGAGTGCCGTACACAGTATATATATATTAAATATATACATCGCGCGACCAAATTTTTAATCCGAATACCGAAGTAGTGCGGGAGTGCCGTTTAGTATCGCGCGTAAAATAACGAAAATAGCGATATAAAAATATCGCTCGTGAGTGCGGGAGTGCCGTTGAAAGTATCGTGCGTCAACAACATGAGAGGAGGAGGAGGCCTGGGAGAGGCATCTTGCATCGGCGGAGCAACCTGATGGTGAATATTTATTATTTGTATATTAATTGTTATAAATCGTACGCATAATAATTCGATCTTATTATTTAAATGAATTAAAGAGAAAATTAGAGAGAAATATTTTTATAAAAGTTATATAAAACTTTTTAAAAAACTTTCTTAAAAAACAGTTTTAAAATTTTATAAAATTTTTCCACACATGTTTATCTCTGCTTATTATTTTACACATCGGATATAAAATTCCGCGCGATAAAAATTTTTTGAAATATTGATTGCATTTTGTGAGCATTAATATAAATGAATTTTATATTTGTATGTTACAGACAACGTAGCTTCGATAAGTATAACTCCGCTGTTGCGCATCAGTGTCGGTGAGTGAGAAAAACTTTTATTTAACTTTAAGGTAACGAATTCGTAGAGATTGTAGATGTAGATTGTAGATTGTAGATTGTAGATTGTGAATTGTAGAGTAAATCCGTTGCCTTAAAATGGATGAACTAGGGTAGATTAAATTAAATAACTTTTAATAAATTCTTTCGAAATGCTTTGCATCTATTGCGAAAATATATTGAAGTATTAATTTAAAAAAGAAAATCAAGAAAAGAAAATTTTTTTTGTAAAGACTTGACTAGTTTATTAAATCAAGAGCATGTATTAATAATTTTAACAATTTTATCAATTTTTGATACTACTTTATTCTTATAACGCGCACTTATTTTATTCTAATTTCTTATATCATAGCTCATCCATTGTAGAATTTGTTTGTAGATATTGTTTTTAAATTTTACTTTAACTTAAAATAAAGCCAAACGATTAATTAATTAAATAATTTGTAATATCATAAAAGTTATACACATACATGAATTTTATATTTTATTAGAAAATATAGTATATAGAAATTTGTAGTAATTTGGCTTTATTTGAGTTAAAATAAAGTTATATTCAAATATTTAAGAAACGATCGTAAAATCGAGCGATCGTTACGATGAGCGTGAAATATTTACGCTCATTTGCCGGTAATTAATCGGCTAAAGAAGGAGTGTTTATCTCCTTTTTCGATCTCTTAGAGATCGAGCGAAAAAGTGGCCAGAATCAACGAAAAATAAGTTCAACTGACCTGAAGAAAAGCTTTACGTACAATAGTACGTAATGTCGGACATTTATTCGCGCGGTTAGGACATGCGGTTAGAGAATGTAATTAGGGCACGTAATTAAAATATACGTGATTAGAGATAGGCTTTCCTCGAATAATTTCACTTAATCGAGAAATAGGATTGTTAGGGCTATTAGGTGATTAAGATTTTTTAATTTCACTTAATCGAGAAATAGGATTGTTAGGGCTATTAGGTGATTAAGATTTTTTAATTTTCCATTCAACAAGTAGAGGATTGTTAGGGCTTTTATGTGATTAATTTAGCTGATTTTATATTATGTATCTTTTAAGGAATCAGGAAATGTAGATTTAAATAATATTAGGGAAAACTAATTAATAAATATTTCAATAATTATATTATTAATATTAAGAATCTTTAAGGGATCAATATTTTTTGAGTGTTTTTTAAGAGTTTTTTTTCCCACGTAAAAAATAAGGATTGTTAATTTATTTTGTATTACATTTCAAATTATATAATATTATATTTTACATTAACTTTTTATTAAATTCTGTATTGAAAGAAAATGAAAAATTTTGCCTTCTCGATGATATCTCCTTCTTAGGGAAGGCATTTGCCGGCTGAGGAGGTTTGAGTATTTTAATGAGCCTGAAAAACGGCCAATTTATATCTCGACTTCCGGACGCGATAGCGATTTCGTTCTTTTTGCATAAAATTCTACACCATTTCGCGGCACTACCGTTTAAATCTTGTCCCGATCGCCCGAGGAGCGGCTGACTTACAGTGAATATCCGAAATCTGCTTTTTGGACTCACATTGGACTTAAGTGTAATATTTATACAGGATGTCCGTCAATTTTCGACCTTAACGAAACAAAGAAGTAGATTGGCTTTAATTAAAAAGGAATGACCTGTATTGTTTTGGGATTGTCGCAATAATTAACGAAATATTAAATAAAGAAGATCGGCCAATTTGCGTGTGTAGAAGCGCGCGGAGACGAGAGTTGTCCCACTGTAATCCGAAACCATGAGCGCGCCGAAGCGGTGGGCGGTTTCGCTTTCCGAGACATGATGGTGGTATTTGCGATATATCGCATATCATGCATTAATAATTTGATATATTTTTTTCAGTTTATATATTGTATTATATAATAAAATAAATATTGCTTTGAATAGTATATATTTTATAATAATACAATGTATAAATTGGAAAAAGGTATATTAAATTATTAATGAAAGATATTTTTTGTACATACTTTTATATTAATAACACTATTGTTACATATAAATTTTTTGAAATACGTATTTTTACATATTTTATGTATTTATCTTATTCATTAATCTTTCACTATTTCATTTAAATGTATAATATTTTTATCTATGCATATAATAATAATTATATACAACAGTCAATAATAATAATAATGTATAATATAATTATGCGTTTAAAAAATATTTGCTTTAATGATAACAAGAATTGGAATTTTTTATCTTATAATGTGTTTATCTCATTATATGTTATCTTATTATGTATATTGATTCTTAAATAATGTATTTAAGAATCAATAATAAATAATGTATTTCATAATGTATATCAATAAGAAATAATGTATTTAAGAATCAATAATGTATTTAAGTTATTATCATAATGTTTCTCATTATTGAAAATTATTTTATTTCGAGAAATTTATCACACGTTATGTTTTTAATGAAAAAATATGTTTTTTATTAGAAATATTTACTATTTCTTTCACAAAATTTCATTTTGTTACATTTTCTTTAAATTTATATATTATATGATATAGAAGTATGTATATGGTATTGATTTTTAAAATTTGTAATGCATCTTGAGCTAAAATATCCATATTAATATTACTTCTAAACTAACATAACAAGTTGTTCATATCAAAATTTATAAAATTAATGGATATTCAAATATATATTTCAAAATTATGTATAATTATTTTTCTTTAACATCTCAAGAATTTATCAAATAAAGTAATTTATAATTATATAAAAATTTATAATTATATAAATATAATTATCTGGACAGAATTAAAAAATGTCTATTAATTAAATATTACTTTTTGCAAATTATCTATTGTAAAATTAATGATACATGATTGTCTGTTTGGTCGATATAAAATGTTTTCTTTGAAAAGAATTATTTTTTTATTATTAATCATAAATTTATGTAAATCTAATCTTCCTTAATTAAGGATATGCACAGGATCACACAACATATGATATATTTGAATTAAATTGATCGACGAAAATCTATGGGTTTTTTGAATATTTAGCGCACGTTCTTTTTACGTTCAAAGCATTCAATATAAGAGCACGCGTGATTATATATAACGCTATTCTCAAATACCAGTGTTAAGATGACTATTAGTAAGTGACAATACTATATTTTTCTGTGTGTCCGTATTGAAAGGAACTCGTCGTTCAAATTTTCACGGATTGAGACTTCAGTAATAATAAATTTGGAAAAATGTTTCGCCTTTTTATGATAGTGACGATGCTCTTTGTGACGATCGACGCGTAAGTGCATAGGTCTATTTTATTGTATTATATATTAGCATAATAAGGAAATAATAGTCAGATGTTCGATATATTGGTACCATCCCGAATTTTTCCTGACTTAAATAATCTGTGCGAACTGCTTTTTTATATATAAATATCTAATAAATAGATAGACGAGTTGTAAAAATAATAGAAAGGCAAAAAATATATTTAAAAAATGATCTTTTAGTTTTGTTATATAATAAAGACATAATTTAATATAGGTATTAAAACGATGTGGGAGAGAAAATGGAATAATTAAAAAAATATATATATATAGAAATTTGTATATAAAAGTTAGCTTTTATTACAACTATTGATATATCAGAGATTCGTGTGTTTACTATTGCTAAAATTGCGCTATTAAAATTAGGAAACACTTTTATTCGATAAGGGATTAATAAAATTCGTTTAATACGGCATAGTTATAAAAGGTATAGAATTTTGGAATTATTTACATTTTCGAATCGAGTAAAGTATAGCTTTAATTTCAAGTTTTACGTTGTTCAATGTAATATAAAAATGCAACGAAAAATTATTTTAGCTAAAGTATATTTGATATAAAATCACACACTCAGTTTGCGTAAAAATTAAACGGATAAACGATATTGTAATATGTATCTTTTGACGATAATGAGGCAATCAATGTTAATGTATAGAATATCATTTATTATTATACGAAAAAAATTAAATGTGTTAAATCTTGCTAGTGGTCGAAATCTCTAGTGAACATCGCCATGAAATATTGTGAGAAAAACTTTCCCATGTATTGTTCCTCCTTGACCGGCCAAACGCCTTCTAGAAAACCAATATGGCCTCCACGCGACGTCACCACTACGGCCACGTTTTTGGTTTTGCTTATTTCTTTTAGAGGTATCGCTGAAAATTTACAGGCATTATGAATAAAATTGTACAAAAAATTATAATAAATTAGAAAATTATAAGTGATCTTGTTGTCGCGCTATATATTTACCATTCAATGGCTGAAACGGATCATCCGCCGCGCTGAGACACAATGAAGGAACTTCGATTAGATGCAACTTATCATCGAGCGTCGCATCGCGATAATATTCATCGACATTTTTATATCCAAATTGCTTTGCCGTAAAATGCGAATCAAATTCTCTTATTGTTTGACTCTGTCAAATATAGTAAATAATTTACGTATGAGTTCAATACAATTTTTTATCACAGTAGTCTCTAGAAAACAATTATAGCAAGTTATACGTATCGCGAATTTATCTCTGATTTTATTTTGATTAAGATTCTAAAATTATTTACGGAAAATTGATCAAGGTATAATTTTTTATAAAATTATAAGTATATAAATTATAGTATAACGGTAAAACAGTAATGAGAAGTAGGCAAATTTAAATTACTATGTTTCCAGTATACTATGAAATAATACGTCAAAATAATTTGATAAAAATTTAAAATGTTTACATTGGAAAAATTAAAAACTTTTGATATTGTTCGACCTGTTTAATATCTAAATTTAATAAAAACTTACTTTTAAGAGTGTGTCAAAATCTATGCTTTTGAAAGGACCAATATCAGAAGTATGATATCGTTCTACTGTGCGTCGTAGATTACCAGCTAAATGCTTATTTAGCATTAAATTAAAATAATTTTCTTCGGTATTCTTCGTTGCGGCGAACACGTTCCATGGTACCGAGATAATAAGACATGCTTTCAATTTCGTTCTTGCTGATAAGCCTTCTCGTGCTAAATAATTGCCTAAGATTAACCTACGTATGGCAGAAAAATGTTTAGAAAAAATATCCGCGAATGTGATTTTATTCAATTTATAAATGTATTTTACATATTTTTTCTAAATATTAATAAATATTAGGGATATATATTATTATGAGATTTATAATTTGAAAATAAATTAAGAAATATGATTATTACCCTCCCATAGAGATTCCGGTTGCTCCGAGGGGTACGTGAGGGTGAAGTTTTCTCACGTGTTCAATAACTTCACTTAAATCCTCATAGTTAGCGGCACAATATGTTCGCGGGGTCTAAAAGCAACAAAGAATATTGAATTTTTATTAGTACAGAAAATAATTTTCAATTAAAAGACTATTTTTCTTATAATAAGTAATAATTGCAATTTTTCTCATCCACACATATAAAGTTATCTAGTCATCTAGTTATCTAGTCTAGTTATCTAGTATGTTCAGGTTATGAGTAAGATTATGAATAAGTAATGGATAAACTACCTTCAATTTCATCCCACCTAAACCTCTATTGTTGAAAATCACACATCGTACTCTAATTTTTCTTGCGGCTGATACCAAGCATTTGATATATTCCGCTTGACTACCACCTGTAAGACCAGGTAAAAGGATAACGATGGGAGAAGTAACGGAGCAATCTTTTTCGGCCCAATCCAAAGCTACTTCACCACCATCAAGCAAAGTCAGGATTTCCCTACATAATATAGACAATACTACAGAATAAAATTCGATATATTTTGCATGATTGTTTACATCATCTACATATTGTTTAAAAGTTTAGAAAACAATTTCTCTCTCTCTTTCTTTCTTTCTCTATCGGCGAATAAATTTTTTTACTAACCTGCGATATTTGATAGACGGCAATATTCGGGATCTTAAGATGCTGGCCATAATGGTCTGCGCTCGCGATTCGAAGCACCATAATGTCGGCCAGAATTTATTCTGCACAAGTGGAATATTCGCTTCCAAAAACGAACGGAATGGTCCATCGGCGCAAACTAGCAAAGGTGTCTAGAATCGTAATAATTTTCTTATTGATTTATATATACGTATGCATGTGTGTGATATGGGTAACATGATATATAATAAAACTGAACTATATTTTATCCATTGTACAATTGGATAAGTAATTTCATTGATGAATAATTTATATGCGATCGAGTGTATGTGTGTGATTTATTTTACCGCTTATAAAAGCAATCATGCGATAAGTCAAGGGAACTGTGCTGAATTATGAAAAGGCATTTGTTACCATATAATTATATTGTTACGTTTAAATTAAATTTAATTAAAAATTCTCTAGAACTTTCTCACAAGTAAAAGATATAAACGAATTTAGATTTTCGTTTCTGAGTATTATACTCAATATTTTTTTCGATATTATTTACATATAATTATCAAGATATAATAATAAATGGATCTTATATTATATTTTTATATATATAAAATTATGTATAATAATTGTACTCAATTACATCTCTAATTAATATATTAATATATAAATATATATAAGTAGATATATATCTACACATAGAATTTAGATATAAACTTTTTTTTCGAGTATTTATCGATCTTATTTACGGTTCTTTTTCTGAGCAGTTATTTAAAAAAATATATGCTTAAGGCATTTTCTTTATGTTTGAAATGAATTACTCACATGATGTTTGCGAAGCTGATACAACTAATTTAAGAGAATAAAAAGAAAAAAAAATACTGAAGTCCAATTGCACCAATGTTATTTTAGAGAGATTTAAATATATATATATCTGTCTTTATTTAGAAAGAAGATAGAGATAAATACATATTTAAGTCTCGCTTATATCGCTTATCTAAAATAATGTTGATGTAACCTGGCCTAAAAGTTCTGATAACAATTTTCATAATTCTATAATTCCTGATAAAAATTAAAAATACAGAACTCTTTTTAATTTTTATCAGAAACTGTAGGATTATATGAAAAGTGCTATCAAAACTCTTAGTATTTTTGTGAAATTCATAGATTGTCGTGCCAGTTTTATAGACACACATTATGAGGAATAATATGATATGAATGAAATAAAAAGAATAAATATAAAACAAGATTTATATTATTATTATACATTAGCATTATACACATAAATCGTTTTAATAGGATAAAATGTATTGATTGAAATGCCTCAATCGTCACATCATTAATGTATCTATATCTAATATAGTTGCAATTTTGCGCTTACTATTATACTTCACCTGCCTACGCTGACGCGTGTATAGGACAACTGCCTCGCAGTTTTAAGGTCAAATTAATAAATTGCATTTTTCCTCGTCGCTTATAGAGGGTCGTACGACAATTTGAACACGTATCGCGGAAATCCTGTCTATATATCGAATTTATTTTAAAATTGATATGCAGATAATATATGAACATTTTGACTATAAAAATAGCTATCTTAAATTTGTTTTGCATAAAAATAAATTTTTTATGTAAATAACTAGATATTTTTGTGCATTATATTCTTTAATACACATGTACATAAGACATAAAAATATAGGTACATTAAATAATTTGATCAATTAAATTTGTGATTTCATTTTCATTCTTAAACTGATAACACACAGTAGCAGTTATACAATAAAATCCATGTAATTAGTCTTATCTCATTATTTCATTCATTTCAATATATATAACGTGTAAACAATATAAGGTGGTTTTCTGAAGACAATAACAAGCTGTAACAATAATATTAAGCTATAACAAGCTGTAACAATAATAATAAGTTATAACAAGCTGTCGCTATAAAATCAAGATTATTTTAAAAGAGGAAGGAACATATATATATGTGTGAACATATATATATATATGTTCTTTCCGCTTTTAAAATAATCTTGATTTATTTGCCCTAAATAGAGAGAACTAATCTTTATGCAAAATGAAATGTGTGTATGTATATCGATATTAAATTTCTTATTATAAAGTTCATTAGAGAAATGATGAGAAACATCAAAATATATAAAGACGTAAAAAAGAAACTATGAGGTTATTGTTCTCAATTATTTCTAAAATTCCAAAAGTATATATTAAAAAGTATTTTCAATGATGTGATTTGATTTTTTCAATCGGAAATTTTCAAAAATGCTTATATAACAGAAACATTCTATACTTCGAAAAAAATAAAACTTATTTAAATAAATTCCATTTACATTTTTAAATTTTTGTCTATGAAATTAATAGTTAATATATCATACACACACACACACACACACACACACAATTTTGCATAAAGATTAGTTCTCTCTATTCAGGGCAAATAAATCTTGATGCATATAAAAGGTGCCGCTGGCTGACACTATTTAACCACATTACTCTGACTCTTTAGTCAATGAATATATCGCTCGCGTTCACAAGTATAACAATAATGTGTTCCATTTTAGAGTTTGCAGATCGCACGCAGATTCAGTGATTCTCCGCATTATTACGTTCATCTTTATTTCATAGAGATCAAAACCTTAATGCTAATCGTATCCGTCTATCATAATAATTTTCATTTTCATGCTTTGGAAAAAAATTTTTATAGACGGCCTGTATTTAGCATCATATCTAATACTAGACACTAATCGAATATATATCTGGTAATATATTTAATGATATATTCAATGAATATATATATATATATAATATTATTCATATCGTTGACAAAAAATATAAAAGCATTTTTTTATTCGCTAGAGTTATAATTCGCTTTCTATTTATTTTCAATTTTTATTTCATCTGCTAATTTCCATCAACCATAAGAAACGATTACGAATAACATTTATAATGCATAAATTTCATCTAGGCACGATAAAATAGGTTTAATTAAAATTGTCTAGTTTCAGATGTGAAGTACATGAAGTATAATGCTGTAACTGTAACATTCTCAATGCGAGATGAGCAAAAAATAAAAAGATACACATGGATGTTATTTTAATTTATTGAATTTTGAGCAATCTATGTAATAATGAACTAATAATGCTGTGTCAGATTGCAAAACGTATGTTTATTTTGCTGTATTATTACTGTTTTTTACCTACTGTTTAAAATATGCGACAGATTGACTCGACATTTACGTATCTTTCTGTTGCTCATGCGCAACCATCACGATTGCAATTGTATTTAATTAAAGACAAAGTTTCCGTCCTATTGAGCGAGGTATGCGGAATCTAATGAATAGTAGGTTAATTTCTCAGTAAATGCTCTCCATTACGAAATTACGCATTATGTAAGTGAAAGTTTTTAAAACTTTCTGGATCGAATCGAACACAATTGATATCGCGATCAATCGAATCTCCCTTCCTCTCTCTCTCTCTCTTTCTCTCTCTCTCTCTCTCTCTCTCTCTCTCTCTCTCTCTTTCTCTCTCTCTCTCTCTCTCTCTCTCGATCATGTTTCTTTTGTTCTCGGAAATGTATCTCGTGATATAACAATTTTCAATAAATGCAATTAATTATCAGATTAAATAGTATATTTTTACTCACCTTGACGACCTCGCAGAGATAATAGATACAAAAACCGACTCCCAATAACGCACCGTAATACAACTTGGGAATATACGGGATGTTCTCGAAGAGATCCATCGTTGCGCACGCGACTACCTGATAGAGACACTCGATTCAGCCAGCGCAGGCACGCTATGCGAGATGACAGGCTCGAGCTGAGGTCTGTCGACGGACTTTGCTTGTCGATAATCGGCACTTAACGAACGACAGTGAGTCAAAGCCGGCGAAGGAAGTCTCACTGCCGCGCAAATATCATACGAATAATTGGACTGACTTACTTATTAAACGATATTATATCAGCAAATTAAAGACAAAGATACCGGAAAATATCGGACAATGAAATTTGTATCACGTGCACGTGAATGAATCTATTCTGCGCATGCACGACGTTATTGAAGTGGAAGTGGATGCGATCAGTCTTGATACATATTTGATCGAAAATTATTTTTTTTTTATAAAATTCTTCCATTCTGTTGCAATTAAACGAATTATGACGTTAAAAATGAGAAATCATATTTTTTTTGAATATTTTTTTTTCGCGTTACATGAAATAAATTAATTTCTTTTTGCATATCAGCTTTCGCGCTCGAATAATATGAATTTATAAAATATATTGAAACTTTTTTTTATTATCCTGCAATAATAAACATTTTATAATTGCCCTTAAAAATAAAGATAGCTCTTATGAAAATTGATTAGGATTTATAGTTATTTATTAATCTATGATTCTTCTCCTCGAAGAAAATATTCGATTTTTTCGTTTTATTTTATCCATTTATTTGATCTACTGAACGTACGTGGTGGCACATTCGAGAGAAATGTAATTTATTTTAATATATTTTGAGATAAAAAAATGTATACTCTTATCTTCTTTAAATATTCAATGTCACTTTAAATATTCACTGTCACATCAATGAAAAATCAGTCAAACGTTTTTTTCCTTTTAAATACGTAATAAAATCTTAAGAAATTGTGATAATTATTCAATGCACGTGTTTTTCGATTATGCAGATTTCACATTCGCTTATAAGAACGCTTACAAAAATGTTTTTACCTATACACGTGCGCGAGAAACTTCATGTCTAGTCTAAAATTTTCTTTAATATTAGCATATTCCATTAATAATATATTCACAAGCAAAGGCAGTCACGAAATTCTCGACGAAATCACAAATTGCGCGTTCACTGACATGTACACGTGTAAGGAATATGCTTTGCGACGCGTGCGTAATAGCGCGATGCGGACTATTACGCAATGATACCGTATCAGAGCCGTACATAGGTACAAGCTGTAACCCTGTACAAGTTGCACTTTTTCATGAAAACTTTATAATTTTAATAATTTAAATAAAACATTTATATTTAATAACCATCATTATGACAAATCAATACAAAATTAATTATCTAGGTGATATTGATAATTATGCAAATTAAAAAAAAAAACAAAATCACAAACACATGTTTATAAATTATATACAGGGTGAGTTTTAATGCTTGTGTCAATCTCTTCATCACGCGGGAGATTACCGACTGCATAATAAATTGATCGGTACATAAATGTCAATTATTTGGATCGATCGTATCTAAGGTCCGAATATAATGTGTACAATTAAAGCAAATTAAAAGTTGAAATTATGTAGTATGAATTTATTATTATTATTATTATTATTATTATTATTAAAGCTACATATTTATTATTATTATTATTATTATTATTATACATATTATATTCAGGTTTATATACCGATCAATTTATTTATTATGCGATCAGTAATCTCCTGCATGATAAAAAGATTGACACAAGCATTAAAACTCAGTCTGTATACACATATGTATATAAACACATATGTATTTTATATAAAATTTAATTCTTATATAAGATATTAATTTTATAATTTTAAAATATTTTTATAATATTCAGATATTAATATTCTATAAATTGAGGCAAATATATACAAGATATTTATAATTTAAACAATTAGAGTTATTTGCGATATATTATATATTAATTGATTATATATTATTATTTAATAGTTTATTATATTCAATAGTTTATTTATTTATTAGAATTTTTATATGCATATATATATACTGAAGTTTTGGCAAATCTAAAAAAAAATTTGTGTCTTAAAAAAGGTCAATATGTTTTTGACAATGAATTTTGCATTTAGAAAAATGGCACACAAATGATGTGTGCACGTGATAACGTTTGCCATGATATCGTTGTATTCACGATTCCTGATTGTGTCCATGCAAATAGAAGTCGAGATGATTTGACTACGTACATACAATGAACGAACAATGACGATCTATCACACCTCGCTGATATTTACGTGCATTGTTGAATTCCTTGTTCTTATCATGCCGCTACAATAGCGCATCAACACAACACCTGCGAGCTCGAGAATTAATAATTACTGATATTCGGAATTACACATGTTGGAGATTTTTGGATAGTTTTCTTGTAATTATATTTTTTCCGTTCATGCTTATCACGTAAATGCGTTTCAGTATTTAGAATTAAACATGCGTTTACAACAATAAATTGCAATGTAGGGTAATTTCCGCAATATATAAAAATTTTATCGAATCATGTCTAGTAACGTTTGTTAATGAATGTTTGCAAAAGAATTTATCTCAGCATAAGCATCAATTTATCATTATGATTGAGTTGTAGAGATAAGCTTTTTCATCGAAAGATGAAAGTGAATGACAGAAATAAAAAAGGATATGTATATCAAGAAGAATTATAGTTTTATTAAATACAGTCTTTTACATTTTGCGATTATAATAAACTAACACACATCGTCCGCATTATAATCCGAGAATGATGTCTTTATGTTGTTCGATATAAGATTTAAATGATTGACTTTGATCGAACGTAAAAGCGAAAGAAATGCATCTTTTTTATACCATTTTATTTTTATTTATTTTGGTCAATTTTAGATTAGCAAATAGATATTTAAAATGGAATTAATTCTTTGTTTTCTAAATATTAAGGTGCTTAAACGAAATTATAAATTGCAGTTTACATAATAATGTAATTCAAAATGTAATTCAAAAAAACATAAAAGAACTTCAATTCTTATCGCATTTATAGCATTTAATTATGCCACAGCATTAATTATGGCATTATCAGCAAGTGTTTTTTGCTGTTGAAAAATAAAGGCATAATTATTATCGTATTATAAGCATGTTATAATATATACAATGCTCTATATATAATGGAACATACAATAGTGTGTAATATATATGATATAATTTTTGCAAATAATTAAAATTATCAAGTCAAAATTAGTAATTTTGCCAAAATTGCACATATTCAACTTACAGTCAGATACATAATTTTACATTTTCAAATTATTGACTGATAAAAATAATACTTTAAAATATTATAAATAGTTTAAAGTATTATAGAAGACTTTTTATATGTATGACGAAACCATTATTGGATTTTGCATCCATTATTGGATTTAATTTGCGAACTAAAGTCAGTACACAAACTTAGCCAAAAAAATTAAATTTCCTTGAAAAAGAATATATCAGATTAACAATGGCATTAATCTCTTCTACTAATTTCATGTTTTATACACAAGCACACAATTTAATATAATTTCTAAACAAATTCGATCTCTTAATTTTTTTATAAAGAAAAATTGGAATTCTATTTCACTTTTAAATATATATAATCGTCGATGTAAATTTATAATCGAAATGTACAAATATTACAGCAATTCTTTAATGTATAGAATATAATAAATATAAAACCCTCTGACAACTTTTATAAATGCAATCGATAGATGATAGGATTAACTTTGATCAATTTTATAATTTACAGATTTGTTTGTGCGACATTTCACGCATCATAAACTTGTACGTAATTATACAATGCAAAATAAGATTACTTCATTAACTTAAAAATAAAGAAGACACAGAATATAAGTCAATAGCAAATTGAAGACGAAGCTACCATATTTTTTGTATAACAATTGAATACGGTAGAAAAGCTTTAACAATAATCAGGCATTTTCCAACTATTATAAAGTTCAAATAGAAGAAGATATCTCATTTAGTGTTCATGGTCACATACTCACATGCTATCGGATGTGATGGCGTAATTGTATTTATATGTATGCGTATATGTGAACATGCAACTGCATGCAACCGTTAATCATACAAAATTATTTATCGTATAGCTTCTCGCATAGAATCTCGAGTTTTATTCGTTATAACTTTAAAAATTTGTTGTATAAGAAATATAACACACACATATATATATATATATATATATATATATATATATATATATACACACACACAACACATATAATATTACGTTTTGTTAATATACGTTTTGATGTCATATAATAACGAAAATTCATTATGCCACGATATATATATATATATATATATATATATATATATATATATATATATGATATATATATATATATATATATATATATATCGTATTATACCTACATCGTATTACATAAAATCGTATAACATAAAACTGAATTTTACATTATTAATTAAATTTGTAATTATCATTTATAACAAACAAAAATATTTTATTTTTTAATTATATTTTTTGATTTAACATTTATACAACTAAAATTACCAAAAAATTTAAACATATATATAACCTAAACATAATTTTAATAAAAATACAAATCTTAAACATAATTTAAACATATAAATATAATTAATTTAAATCAAAGCAATTAAATTTTATATTTGAAAAAAAACATACTTAATTGCGTATTTGAGAAAACAAAAAAACAAATTGCAAGATGTTTGCGTGATTTTATATATCGTAAGTTTCGCTAGTTTTCACAATCTACAAAATATTAACTAAATATGTCTCTATTTATGCCATTATCTATCATTTTGCAAACAGTTGTTGTTCTCTTATAATTATAATATGATCATTAAATATGCAAATAATATATATTTACTATTTTTGCTTTTTATGAAAAATTGGCCTTTTATGTTTTTCTGTCTTTTCTATAATATAGAAATATTAAACTTTTCCACTCTTTTAAGTATTTGATTAATAATAAAATAATTAATTTATAGTGTATTTTTTATAGTGTAAAAATCTTTCAATAATATGTATATATGACGTTTTTTATAAAGATATGTAAAATTTTAGTTGTAATAAATTTAATTTTTATTATTCTAATTCTTTAAATTTTTCAATTTTCTTTATTTTTAATGTCAATCATTGGCAGCTGATTATGCTAATATTTGACTAAACATATTATTTTATCGAATTGAAAATATAGTATTTGATTGACGTGAATAAGAATTATCATACTATGTATATACAAAAAAAAGAAATGTGTATATATAAAATCGAGTATTTGATTTAATAACATTTCTCAATGCGGACATATCTTATGATATTTTCTAATACATAAGTTAAACTATTCGTATCTGTCTTAAGCCTATGACTATAAAAATAATGCCACTGAAATATAAATTTCACAATAACGCTATTAGTTTATGGCTTGTACGATATAATGATACATTAGTATTTAGCAGCATGGAACTTTTTTGCTTAAAGTTCCTGTTTGTTTCTACGTACCTTACGATAGTAAACATTTAACATCGGATGCTGATAGTTAATCGCCGTATATCATGAACGCCGATTACAATTAGATTCGCGAACATACTTAGCCCAAGTACGAGAAGGTGAAAATTGACTGGAATAATGTTTGCGACTTGAGGTTGCTTGGTTCCCCTCTGTCATGTTTCGATAAGTTTCTTCGTCGTAGACGCAGGAAAGATTCCTTCTTCGTTTTACGGAGCCGGTTTCAAAAGTGCTCAATTGACTGCCAACGAGTATGTGAAGATCACCTTTCTCCTGCACGGCCCAATCCCAAGTTTGCGCGATAGAGCAATTGCAAACAAACGGATTTCCCATAAGATTAATCGAGAGTAAACGTGGATTCGACTCGAATACCTTTGGATTGATCGTGCGCAAATGGTTATTACTGAGGTCTATGTGTTCTAATGCGTGCAGTTGCTTCAGGGAGCTCAGATTTTCTACACCAGAGATGGTATTTCCCGAAAGATTCAATTGAGTGAGATTATTCGTCGTGGCAAATATGTTCTCATTCAAGTGCGAGATACTGCAGTTACTGAGAGCCAAAATCTCCACCTTAGACAGCTGCGTTGGAAGTAGTGAGCCTTCATCGGGCACGATCAACGGATTGCCGCTGAGTTTAAGTTCTATTATGTTTGTCGACTGATGATCACCGAAGATTTTTGGATCGAGAGGTATCTTGAGATCGCAATTGTTGAGTTCTAAGCTTTCCAAACGCGTCAGATTCGCGAATAACCCTTCCTCCAAAGTATGAAGCTCGTTCCCCGAAAGAATCAACTGCTTCAGGAAAGTCATTTGTGCGAAAGTATTATTTCCGACATGACCAAGACCGCAATAAGACATATCCAAATATTCCAAAGATGTTAACGGATTAAGAAGACTGACGAATGCATCGGACAGTGGATTATGAGAGATATCGAGCTCCTCGAGATGTTCGAACACATCGAAGGCGTCTGGTAATCTTCGAAGACTGCAGTTGCTGAGAGAGAGTTTATGAAGCTTAGGCAAATGGCGGAGAACAGCAGTTAAATCGCTAGCGAACATTGGATTACCGCTCAGATTGAGTACACGTAGTTTACTTGCGTTTGTGAAAGCTTCCTCGGAAAAGCGATCTTGTAAATTGCAATTTGACAAATCCAAAGATTGAAGGCTGTGCAAATTGTGTCCGAGCGTATCTTCGACATCCAGATGCCATAATTCATTATTGGCGAGAACTAATTGACGGAGATACAAGTTCTTCGCGAAGGCGTCACCTGGTAAATTCGTAATACCGGTGTTGCTAATATCTAGATGTTCCAAGCGCACTAACGGTGTGAGAATGTTCCTCCAATTCAATGTTTTCAATTCATTATTTGCTATTTCTAATTGTCGCAAATTTTCCAAGTGCGAAAATGCCTCCGGAGATATGTAGGTTAAATTGCATCCGTTCAACGTGAGATATTCCAAGTTCGTTAGATGATCGAAGGGACCTGGTTCTATTCTTTCCAGGGGATTGTGTGACAAATCGAGCTTCTTCAAATTCGTCGTATTGTGGAAGAAATCTGTATTGAGATGATGAATACCGCATGAATTTATATCGAGGTGCAGCAACGTGCGGCAATTCAGGAAATGTCCTTCAACCTCCTCCAAAGGATTATGTTGAAGCTCCAGTGTAATTAAACCCGGACTGTCTCTGTTAAATTAAATGTGTCATTATTGATCAAATTATTTCTGTAAAAATATGATTACTAGCGCATAATTGATATTGAATTATCTTACCGAAATGCTTCAGGATCTACACGCGTAATGGCGTTATACGAGAAATCTGCATCCAATAAATACGTTAATCCGGCGAAGGATTCGTACGTCAACTCAGTTAACTGGTTATGTGCCATCTGGAGGCGCCTTAATTTAATGGAGCTTGGAAACGGGTCGACGTTTGCGATATTATTATCATTCATGTCTAAGATATAGACATTTTGGCTAAGTTCGTTGTAGGGGATGGTCGTAAGATTGCTATCCGAGCAATCCGTCACCCAGTTGATGCGGAAGTAGTGACAATGGCAATCTACGGGACATTCTTGCTCCTGCAGGGTCTCCTCGTTCAGGGCAAACGCCGCAACAATCAAGTATACCGTAAGTAGATACAAAGCTGTTGTTTTTTTCTCCATTTTGTAATCTACATTAACTGAAAAAGATTAAAAGATTAGTCGGATTTTCATTTTTAAATATCAAAATCATTCTACATTTACACAATAGATCTATAATATTATGTAATATTATGTTTTTTATTTTTTTTAAATAATTTGATATAATATTATGTAATTTTATATAATTTGTGTTTTCTGTAATATTATTTAATATTATGTTTTTTTAATATTACAGATAAAAAAGAAAAAATAAATTATTTGATACATTACATTTAAATTGTATGATCTATATGTAACAATATAAAATATTGTTGGATTATGAATTATTATAATATATATAAATTTTGAGGGAAACTTTATCTCTTTATAAAATATATTTACTGATTCGAACATCTGAGATAAATCTGAGAGATTTCCTAGTTTTCCAACTTGACGTCTCAAACTAAATTAATGCAAATGAGTCAGTCCGGGAGTCGTAGCGAGAACCGGTAAATTGCAAATACGATCCTATTCATCGCGATGACGAATCACATTCGACTAACTTTTTACGTTGGCGGAGTACATTACAAAGAAACGCGTCGACGCCTTTGGCCGGTAGACAACTTCTCTAGCAAGTCGGAACAGGGCTTTCCGCCAGAATGGTACGTGCACGCTTGGCTGCACCGACGAAGAGAGCCACCCTTTATTCCCGTGAAACCTCCCGCCTTCGGCCACGAGCGAGTACCATTACGGACGACGTATACATTCGACGAAACTGCCAACCACCTCGTGCAATATTTCTCGTCCTCGCCTTTGGCGCCGCGATTCTTTAGTTTTCGGATGTCGTTTCCCCCTTAGGACCTCGGGCGGGAAAACGCCGCGTGTCGGGGATAAAGTCATTTGCATTCAGACCCCAGGCGAGATACTAGATGTTTTTTGCGAATGAGTGTCGCTTTTCTTTAACGATTTTGACTGGGGATTTCAGGAAGCGGATCCTACGGAATTCCTCAAGCGGAATTTATGCGACGACGGAAGCGTTCGTTAGATCAATGGATTCGAATGCGTTGAGAATTTTCCCCATTCTTGTTTTAAGAGTCTCTCTCTCTCTCTCTTTTCTCTTTCTTTTCCTCTTATGAGTATCGTATACGTTTAATTCGATATTAATTATTCGTTTGTATAATTTGAGATCGATGCGTTGTTGATAACTATATCTAACACATTGAGTCATTATTCTCATTGAAGGTGTGCTTGCCAAATCAATATTACTGTCTACATCTAAATGAGTAAAGTGGATGTCTCTGGAGAATGATATTGTGTTGACGAGAGATGATTATAGAGCATTAAAGCCGCCCTCAAATCATAAAAGCAAGAGATGGTGCAGTTAAATATAAAAAAATATGTAAAATAAATTTTACAAATTTTCATATTGTTTATGGTATAAAATATTTTATATGCATTACATATTTTATATATAATTTTATATACATTACAAGTAATTCTACTATTATATGTATAAACTCTTATAAAAATGATTCGTTTTTCTTTTATGAAGAATAATAAATGTGTGTAACGCGGAAAAAATATTTTTAAATATACGATAAAAAAGAATAACTACTTCGCTAAATCAATATATTATGATTTATTATGTCCTTTATATTTTGCTACTAGTCAACAATTGCATTTAACGAATTACTATAATAAGATTATTACTCGTATACATGCTGGGATAAAACATTAAGTTGAATTTCGTATTGTAATATTATTACATAGTGTAATCACATAATTGCAATTGTTTAACAATATTATTTTATTACAATTATTTTATTTTGAATGTTATTATTTATATTTTAGCTATATTTTTAAGATGCATTATTTTACTAGGCATTATATAATGTTAGAAATTAAGAAGTTCAATCTTTCAATATCTTACAGTATAAATTATATTATTATAATCATATACTTTTCGTTGGAAATTCACTGACACTTTTTTATTACAAAAAATTGTACAAAAGTAAATTTAATAAATTCAATAAATTTTCACGAGAGGTGTAAAAAGGTCTTTAATGATTTTAATTAAATAGAAATAAATTAAAGCAAGAGTGTTCAAATAATTATATATTTATAATCTCTGTTTTAAGGAATATTATGTTCCATAAAAATCATCTATTTCTTTTAAAAAGAGAGAATACAATTTTGTGTAATATTGTTTTTATTGACTTAAATGAAGTGGCAAAAGAGAAATTTTATATCGTTTTATATCATTTTGAGAGAGCTGAGTTTATTAAATTTTGCGCAAAGTCTTTCTATTTTGTGAGTTGTACTAGCTATTGCTTAAGAATATTTCGTAATATCATTATATAAATTGGCGGAGGTTCTATAAAGGTAATACTTGCGAAAATGGATAATTCATATATTTTAAGAAAGAATGCTGAATTGTATTATACGTGAAAACTCCATTTTGTATTTATATTATATATTCCTCAAGGAAATAGAGAAAAAAACGAGTACTGATCATAACGCTTATCACTTTTCGATAAGATCTCTTTTCATACGTAATATAAATAGTACAAGACTGTTTAATTTAGGAGTCAAACGTTAACATGTGAAAATATAAGGCATAATATGTCCATTTTACATAATTGTTTGACATGTAGAACAGTACAGGAAATATAATACGACTAAATTGTGCGTTTCCTTACGCTTATTCACGTAATGTGAAATTGGATTTATTTTACTAATATGAAGATTTATAATTATATTATATGTGCAAATATATATTATATCATTTGAATTTTGGACAGGAAGAACATTATTATAATATTAATCCTAATTATCTGTATCTTGTGAACTCATCTCATAAATTTAAAAAATTGATTCCGATTAAATGTGCATCGATCTTTTGTCTAATTATATTAATTGCTGTTGGCTGTGCAAATTTAATGAATTTAATTGAAACTTTGTTGAATTTGTAGATTCGCTTTTTCGACTTTACTGGAAAATTTCAAATTAAGTTAATTACATTATTCTAGGCAATGCTTTTCTCGTATGCAAAACTCTGATATATAACGTAAATATATAAAATTCTAATATAATTAAAAATTTTTTAAATATTAAATTGATTTTTCGTGTAAAAAATAACTATTTAACAAAATAATATTTTGCACTCATCAATAACGTATTCCATGTATATGAAATATTCGCTTAAATATATATCAAATTTTGTAATTAAAGATTTGAAATTAATATCGAGTACCCAGAAATTTTAACAAAAAATTCCTGATAATAGGGCAACTAAATATCGAGAAAAAAGATGATCACGTGAAAAATGATACATCTTTCCGAAGAAAAATTTTGATTATACATTATGAGGAAAAAATAAATCGTGATAAAATCAAGTATCGTATAATCACAAACTATGCTTATCTGGCAAACAAGATATCCGTTTCTAACATATGCGAGTCTCGTTATTCTCGCGATATCGACGTGTTATAGATCAAGGTGCTCCAATATTTCATTTTAGTCACATTCTATTTACATTTCTTCAAATTCTATAACGGTCATGAAAAACGATTCTGCTACGCAGCTGCTACAAGGTTGCACAAAGTAATTCTTTGCGTATCTCATTGTCCGTACGTCGAATGTATGACGTCTCACGTATAGTTCTAGAAAACCTACTAGAGGATACTTTTTGTTTTACAATATTGTAATTCTTGGGGATTTATATGTATAAATTTTAATACATACATTTTTTTAATTCGATTATTATTTTATTTTGGTTTATATCTATAGAAAAAAATATATGCATATTCTTATATACATAAATTAAAATAAAATAATAATCATAATTATAATATTAAATATACTTCAGATATTAAATGTGTCTATTCTGTCACCTAAAGTTACTAATAATTTTGATAATTATTCTCGTGTTATACAAATCTCTATTCGACTTAAGAAGAATAAATAATGAATAAATAAATAATTCATAGAGAATATTTACGATACAAAGAGTGCTTCTCAAAGTTTTTGCATCAGTGATACATGCACCACGTACGTACTACACTCGCGACGTAATTCTCATTCATTGCCTGCGCACTTCATCGCACTCCACAGGATGGCTATTTCATTAAAGAGCACCGAGGTCTCCGGATCTTGCCGCTCCCGCGACGCGCAACGATGTGCAACGATGAAGGCGACGAGTATGTTAGTGGGATGTAATCTGTCTCTACCGAGTCGCGAATATATGTATGGAGTTACGAGCAGATTAAATAGCAAGAGATCATAAAATATCTTCTACGTTATAAAAATTTAAAACGTCAAATAATTAAATATGAAAAACCTATGAAAATTAGAATAATTTTGATACTTCTTCAGATTTTGAATTTTTTTCACAATACACTACCTTTTCCTGAAAGTGGTTCTCTCTAAAGTATCAAGATAGAGATAAAGGAAGAGATAAGTATTTCCACATGATTTTCTTACTTTGCGTGCAATACTAATTTTTTTTTCAAATTTTTCAACGGCGTTCTAAGTGGCTTTGCGATTAAATTTTATCTTAAATTTTATTTTATCATATTGCGATAAATGACTCTTCATTATCGTATCTTGTAGCAATAGCCCATAGTGAATATAATAAGAACATATCCTTCTTTCCTTATCTTCATTAATTTTTAATTTGTTGAAAAGCAAATATAATTTGCTAATTGATTAATTTCCCACCGGTTCGACGTGCAATCGTTATAATAAGTGGGACACTTGGAAAAGTATGCGTTTTACGTACCGGAAATATTATAGACCTAGGAGACAGCACGAAGAGGCGATGATGATGATGATCGCAACGACTCGCGCGCGCACGTCAGTGGACAGAGATAAATTGAGCGGTCGGATTGTCGAGAGCCGCGGTTAAATTAAATCACATGTCCGACAGAATTCAGGGTTAAAATCTACCGAGGTGCGCTCTTGTTTCTGCACGCGACGAGCTTAAAATTTCGACCTCTATTTTTTGCGGTCCGCGTTCGATTTGGTTCACTCTTGTCTCTCTCTTCTTTTTCTCCTCTCAAAATCTGATGATGTATCTATTTTGTACTGTTTTATATTGATTTAACGCAGATTGGTATTATTAAATCAATTGTTTCTATTAGGAAATAAAAAAAAATATATTATAATTTAAAAAATATATATATATATATATATACGGATGTGTTTAAAAATATCCTTTAAACGTTACACTTTTGATGATTTTAGAAGTTGGATAATAATATACAAATATTATTTTTTTATTATAAGATTATTTATTATAATATATTTATAATATAATATTATATATAATATTATATTATTATAATATATTTATAATATTATAATATACATTATAATATAATATTATGTATTATAATATATATTATTATATATATTATTTAATATATATTATATATATATATATATATATATATATATATAAGATTTATTATAAAATAGAAAAGTATAATTGAAATTTAATAAATAATTAAAAATTGAAAATTGATGATTAAAAATGGAATTTCGTGGAAATTTAATTTCTCCATCCATCTATCGATACGTATCTATATGTATTACACAATTTTCATCAATGCTTGGGAAAATTGGAGTTATTTCGAGAGCAGAGTCCATCCGTGAGAGATACATGATTGGCGTTTAAAAGCATAATAATAGAATTTTGCAAATTAAAGTATCATTCCCTCGTAAGAAACTTTAATTGACAAATGTTTACACACACACAAACGTATTGCGATAAAGGTAGGCGCCCCTCGCGTGACCGGCCCTGTCTTCAGATTAAACGCGGTCTCTCGCTTTTCTTAACCTTCCAATTCCTCGACAGAGGTAACAAATTCCTCGATAGAGAGATCGATTCTATCGGACGAGAGGGGGATCTTACCGTGAGCGGCGATGTAGCGTTTTCGATCGAGGAACCTCACATATGACCGAGTATTATCGCGATCTGCGAGCGTTCGGAGGCTCGATAAAACGCACCCTTACTAACGACCACCGGGGGTAGAAAGCTCGGAGACACGACGAGAGTGTCAAATATGCGCTTGCGCGACGATATTAAATGCGTCTCCTTTTAAATGCGTCTTGGAATGTTCGCGGATCTTGGAGCGCTCGTTCTTGGAGTCGAGAACCTTGCACGTCGATTTAACGACTGGAGGAAATTCACGCGATACGAACGTTATAAATGATACACCTCCGTGTATAAAAACGTGTATCTCTCGAGTAAAATATTTCTCTTCGTATCGACAAAGATGGAACAGAGTTTATAAAACGCTTCACGCTGTGTTGTGATTAAAGGTCTC